TCCCCAACACAGAGGCCTAAGCACTCCACCTCTCCATCTTGCCTTCTGCACTAGAATAGCCTTCCTTCTTTCCTCTCCCTCCACCTACTGCCTTGTTCTCCAAATCCAGCTCAAATGTCTCCTCTTCCAAGATTTCCCCAGGGGAGGACCAGCTAGCTACCCATCTTATGGGGCCCAGTGCAAAACGAAAATGTATGGGGGAAAAAACGAAGAAGAAGAAAATGAAAATGTATGGCACCTTGTTCAAAAATTATTAAGAATTTCAAGACAGTGACACCAGGGCATAAAATCAAGGCAGGCCCTTCTAAGTATGGGGCCCTGAGTGACTGCACAATTCACATGCCCTGGCCCCACCCCATGTTCCCCGAGCACTTCACTGGGACCATGTCACCACCCACCCTCTATCAAAGAGCTTTATGTACGTGTCAGTTGTCCCCTCTAGACCGTGAGCTCATGGGGAAAGAGGCTCATGGCTGTGTCCTAGAGGGCGCATTAGCATACCTTGAACTTTGAGTGGGGCTCAATAAATACCATATGCCACACATTGCATTGGCAATTTAGATATTTGCAAGTGCAAAGTGAAACCAGCAGGTGGCACTGTTTCCCGCCCAAGAGTTAAGTTTTCATTTATTTCTCGTTCAAGAACTGTTAGGGTCTTAAAAGATAATCTTAACATTTTCACACTGTCGGGATCAGAACAGGGCTGAGAGTCCTTGCTGTAGTCCGTTTTACAGACGAGGAAACAGGCTCGGAGAGAAGGCCCATGAAGCTCCGAGAACAGACTGATGGCAGAGCCTAATTTAAATGCTATACTCCGGATGCTAAATCTGGGACTCTGAGGTTCTCAGAGTGAGAATAAAGTCAAAATCTCGGTTCTAAAATCTCCTAGCTTACCAGCTCTTCTGTTGCCTGAGGTTCCACCATGAACAAGCTAGCCTACAGGCTTAAGCATTGACCTTTGGGTTTCTCTCTCTTTTGTTTCTTATAAGTGGGGTTTTCTCCAAGAGAAACTTAAAACTGCAGTGTGGGTAGAATTCTCTGACACCTTCCTCCCTGGGGAAGACTGTAGACTACTGAGGGCACAGACCATGAAGACAGCAAGGGAGGGAGGAAACAGCTGTAAGGGGAATGAAACCAATAAGATAATATCCACTAAGTTTTGCAAGAGTAATCCCTGACCATACTCACCAAAAAAAGGCCCACCAGGCAGGCTTGGCTCTCTTCCTGACCCCAGGGGACAAAGGCAGGCGGGGAAGTAGGCAAATAATGCTTTCAGGGGCAGAAATGGTAAACACCTGCTGGGGCTGGCTGCTGACCCCGGAGGCAGGGACAGCTCTAGGGGAAGGCAGAGCCTTGTGACCAAGTTCTTTATGGATTCTCTTTGATTATAGAGTGCTGAAGTGGAGCCCACTCTGCAGAGCTCATCCCCAAGCCCCCATCTGGTTCTAAACCTCCTCCTCTCCTCCGCAACCCTGGCTGGTATGTGAAAGTGGGCCATCAGCGCCTCATCCTGGCGAGGGGTGTCCTGGGCTTGGCTGATTTTGTCCTGGAATCTATCTATCTATCTATCCCCTTCTCCTCACACTAATCACTCGTATGTATTTTCAGAGGGATCACCTTCAAACCAAGGAACACAGAGGGGCCCCTGGGTGGCTCAGTCGTTAAGCGTCTGCCTTCGGCTCGGGTCACGATCCCAGGGTCCTGGGATCGAGCCCCAGATCGGGCTCCCTGCTCGGCGGGAAGCCTGCTTCTCCCTCCCCCACTCCCCCTCCTACTCCCCCTGCTTGTGTTCCCTCTCTCACTGTGTCTCTCTCTATCAAAATAAATAAATAAAATATTAAAAAAAAAAACAAAACACACCAAGGAACACAGAGCACACAGTGGCTTTTCAGACAACAGCCATCTTGGAGGCAAAGTTGTATGTTGAAGCCGGGCAGGTTTGGCAAGTTCAAGTCGCTTAACCTCTCTGTGCCTCAGTACCCCCTTCTGTAAAAAGGGTAGTATTTGTTTCACAAGACGTCACGAGGAAGAAAAGAACCAATATATGTAAAGCACTTTCAACAGGGCCTGGCCCACTGTCACCACTTTATAAGGGACCCTTGCTGTCATTGTCATTACTCCAGAAGTACGTTTAGAGGTGATCCAGACCTTGCGCTCCCCCCAACCCCCATTTCACAGATGGGGAAAGTGATGGTGCAGAGGAGGCAAGTGACCTTCCTGTGTTAGTTTTCTTTGTTGTGTAACAAACTACCACAAACGTAGCAGGTTAAAATAACACCTGTCTATTGTCCCACAGTTTCCGTGGATTGGGAGTCCAAGCACAGCTTAGCTGGGTCTTCGGTTAAGGGTCTCCCAAGGCCATAATCAAGGTGCAAGCCAGAACTGACAGGGCAGTCTGTCTGAGGCGAAGGGTCCTATTCCAAGCTCACAGTTGTTGGCAAAATTCATGTCCTTGTAGCTATAGAACTCATGGAAGCTCAAGGCCAACAGGAGAGCATGTCTCTTACCGGGAAGGTTCCAGACCCTCTTATTCGTGCTTTCAAATGATTAAGGTTGGCCCACCCAGGGTAATCTCCCTTTTTACTAACTCAAAAATCAACTAATTTGGGACCTCGATTACCTCTGCAAAATCTCTTCGCCTTTCCTATCTGATGTAACCCCGTCATAGAAGTGGCATCCATCATGTTCACAGATCCTTCCCACTTTCAAGGGGAAGGAATATACAGGTGTCTACAACAGGGGGAAGAATTCTTGGGGGCCACTTTAGAATTCTGACTCTCCCACCCCCCAAAACGACTTATCAAATTCCTGGCAAGGGGGAATCTATTTGGCCCATAGGCCTCCCCATGGCCCATGAAGGAATTGCCCCATACAGGGATCCATGCTTCTCCTGCTTCAGGACAATGGCAAGATCAGAACAAAATGGCTTAATATTGTCTAAAATCAACTTTGCATCCTGTGCCCAATTCTCAGAAATAATATCATCCCAAGTCGCCCTCAGAATTAGTGCTCTAGGGAAATTAAGCCCTGTCCAGAGTTGACCAGCAGCCAGGCTATATGGTAACCAGTCTTTAAGATGGCTTCTAAGGGGTCTTGTCTCCTGAAGGCATTCCTGCCCTCGTGTAGACTCCTTCACAATGAATAGGGCTGACCTGTATGACCAATAGGATACTTCGTGGAAGTGACAGTGTGTGACCTGAGATTTGGCCATAAAAGGCATTATACTTTCCACCTGGCTCCCTTGGATCACTCTCTGGGAAAAGCCAGCCGCTATGTCATGAGGACACACAATCGGCCCTGAGGGTCCACATGGCAAGGAACTGGGGCCTCCTGTCAACAGCCAGCACCAGCTTGCCAACCACCTTGGAAGTGGGTCCTCCAAGCCCGGTCAAGCTTCCAGATGACTGCAGCCCTGCTCAACATTCTGACTACAACGTTGAGACCCCACAACCCCCTAGCTCAGCAGCTCCCACATTCCTTGATCTGCAGAAACTCTGTGAGATAGTGGTCCTAAGCCTCTACATTTGGGCGTAATTTTGCACAGTGATAGGCAATCGAGGGGCCTGCTGGAGCTAATACCTCACCCAAAAGATGGTGCTGATGATGAGAATAAAGTGCCTTTTGTTGAGCACCTCTGCACAGCGAGCTCTGACCCTCCCCCCTGCAGGCCGTTGGCGCGCAAGGGAACGGCTGGTAAAAAACTGAAATCCAAGTCCAGAGGCCCTGAGCCACCGTCTCACATCACCCGACATAGACCTGACCGAGATTTCTGAGGCAGTGCAAATGTTCTGCTTCCGTCTGCATGGCCCAGGGTAGCTGCCGCTGCACGTGGCTGTTGATCACTTGAGATGCGGCTAGCACAACTGAGGAACTGAGTTTTTCCTTTTTAAAAATTAATTTGAACTGCAATAGCCACTTGGCCAACAGCAACTGTACTGGACAGCACAGGTCTAGCAGACGTGAGAAACTTCTGCGAGAACCAAGTTATGAGGAACAGAGATCCACCCAAGCCTCGCGGGACTCAGGAAAACCAGGCATAGTGGGGACGTTGGGAGGGACCTGAGACCAGACTCGCCGCTTCAGAGGGGGTTAGCCGGGCCCGAGCAGCCTCCAATGGAAGGGCCTCGGGCCACATAAACCCTCTGATGGGCAGTGTGGTTGTGGGCAGCCTCCAGAGCCCAAGTGCCTGGGTTCAAGTCAACCGTTGCTAAGTTGGGTCACTTCAGACAAGTCCTGTAACCTCTCAGCGGCAGCGTCCCCATCTGTATAATGGGGACACTACGAGCATCTACTTTGCAGAGTTGCTGTGCCGATGAAGTGGGTTCCCATGTTGAAGCCTAGAATGGGTTCTGGCACACGTGTGTGACGGGAGGGTTTGCTTCTACTGCCCGTTCCACTGTATCCTTCCCGACCCCAGCCAAGCACTGGACAACATGGCACCAAGGTTAGACCCCCAAAGCCCAAGGCCCGGGAATTAAGGCTTAACTCTGCAGACAAGTAAGGGCAGGTCTCCGCCTTGGTAAAAATGCTCTTACCAGGGTCAAGACAGGCATCAATGGGGTCTGCAGAGGCCAAGCAGGCAACATGAGCGATAGCAGGTGGACAGAGACTGTGGCGAGGCAGAGAACCCACGTCTAAGACAGGATCCTGCCTGTGGGCAACTTCCAAACGGGGCCAAGAGGCTGGAGAGGGGCCAAATCTTGAGGTTTTCCCCTCGAGAAGTGGGGAATCTGGACTTATATGGGGAACATCCTCGTTTCTATAGTTGGCACCTAATCCAAGGAATTTTTGTGTTTGTTTTTGAAACAAGGTGCCATCTGAACAGAACACCACGGCAGGCACAAGCCCACAGGCCGCCGTGTGCACTTTCTGCCTCTCCTCTTCTCCACGCCCTTTCTTGGCTTCTTTCGTCTCTGCTATCAAGGGATACAGAACCCAGAAAGGATGACTTCTTACAAACTTTAAAATGACAGAAAATAAAAAAAATGAGAGACAGGCAATCTAGAAAGTACCAGGTTTTATTCTTATCAAAAAAAAAAAAAAAATTAAGTAACAGACAACAGTGTGAGGTGGCTACAAGAGGTGCTCACTCCCAACACAGCCAGAGGGAGAGCAGAGGGGTTGGTGGGGTGGGCAGTGCAGAGGACCCAGCCAGCTGGGACCCTGGGTTGTGGCGGTGAAGGGTGCAGGAGGCAAGGGTGACTCCCCCCGTACCCCAACCAGTGGGGTCAGGAGAAGATGCAGCCTGCCCAGGCTAAGCCACCAGGCCTCTTCTTTGTGGGCGGGGGGCGGGGGAGGGTCACCAATAACAAGATCCAAAGCCAGGGCCCAGTCAGTCCTCCCCCAGCCCCCCTCCCCCTTTGCCCAGAGAGACCAAGGTCACCCCCGCAAGGCTGGGGCTGGGACGTGTTAAGCCAGTTTAGTTCTCCAGCACTGCGGTTCAACAGGTGGACATGGTCCCTACCTGCATGTTCACTGTAGCAGCCATGAACCACATGGGCAAATGAGCACATGAAATGTGGTTAGTGTAAATGAGGAATGGATTTTTAACTCTGGGTGATTTTCACGGATTTGAACAGCCGCACGTGGCCAGCGGCCACCGCAGCGGATAGCACAGCTCTCCAATTTTCTCATAAATTCGGAGAGAGCAAACAAAGGAACACCGGTTGGGCTCAAAGCAGAAGCTAGAAAGAAGGTAGAACTGTCTACCCTCAACTATTCCAGCCCAATCAGGAGAAGGCACCAGGAACAGAGAGAGGAGAGAGAGAGAGAGAGGCAAAAACCCACTCAGCCAAACAAAATTCCACTCACTCAACTATCCAGCCAACTTCAAATGGGACATACCACACTATTTCCTGAAAAAATATATTTATCTATTTTTCTAGAACCAAGGAAGAATAATAATATATTACAAGAAAAGAGATACAAATATTCCCACCATCCCCTAACATTGTATTTTGGGATCTGCTAGAAAACTGTTTCAGCAAAAGCTACTTCTTAGAGGAAGCAGCTTCAGCAAGGGCCAAGGTCACGAGCTGAGGGAGTGTTAAGTATAAAAAAAAAAAAAATGGGGAGGATATTTATTTATTTTTTAAAATTTTATTTATTTGAGAGAGAGAGCACATGAGAGGGGGGAGGGTCAGAGGGAGAAGCAGGCTCCCTGCTGAGCCGGGAGCCCGATGTGGGACTCGATCCCGGGACTCCAGGATCATGACCTGAGCCGAAGGCAGTCGCTTAACCAACTGAGCCACCCAGGTGCCCCCAAAAATGGGGAGGATATTTAAAGAAAAAGAGGAAGAAGGCCCTGTCTGAAGCTATAAATAGTAAAAAAAAAAAAAATTAATAAAAATTATTAAAAATCGTGTCTCCGTCTCTTCTCTCATTTTCAAAAAACAAAAATAAAAAAAACATTAAATACAAACTTAGCAGATACTGTGGAAAGTGCAAGAGAGCGGAGAACATCTCAGCATGGGCACACTCTTGCCCAGGCAGAGGCTCTGCACCAAGGACTGAACCATTCAGAAAAAAATACCCCGCTTAAGATAGATTTGCAAATACTCTGCATATCCATTTCAGTATGAACTTTCAGTTTTTCTTCCCACCCTCCCTCCTTCCCCATCCCCTCCCCCAAATAAAAAAGGTTGATTTCCAGAAAGTCACTTGAAAGAGCCGAGAATGGCCCAAGGTATACCAGACTCCTGTAGTATGATCACAAGTGCCCTGTGACGGACACATGTCAAGGTGCAGATGGTTCTAGTTCCTTCTCCTGGCTCCTTTTCACAAGAGGGAGGGAGAAGGCTGGCTGGGGGCAGAGGCCCAGAAGGACTCCTGTCCCAGCTTCAGAGGGGCTCTGGGTGAGGCATGTTCAGGATAGGGTGTAAGCTGGGCCCACATTTTAAGTGTAAGATTAAGAAATGATCCAATCCCAGACCTGCCTTCAGCAAGGCCAAGTGTAACCCTATTTTTCTGCCGGGACAACCGAGGCCCAGAGAATCAACAAGAGGCAGGCAGGAACAGAAGATGATGTCTCTTCTGACGCTTGAAACATAATCAGAGCTGGAGATGCGGACAGGTCAGCATTAGGTTGCCCTCCCCCTACCCTAACGTCCACCCTTCCAAATCCTTTGGCTTCCCTCCCCATGGAGGTCCAAGCCAGTGCCCAGGTGGGCGCTTCAGGCATAGAACTCGTTGGTAGGGGCTTTCTTGTAGATGGGTTTCTTGCCCAGGTCATAGGTGCCTTCATCCTTCTTCTTCATGCGGCACACCAGCAGCAGGACCAGGAAAACGGCGAAGAGGATGCCCACGCCGCTGCCCACGATCAGAGCTGCAGGGGAAGAATGGGGAGAGCCGTGGGTCAGGACCTCGGGTACACTGCCACTTCCCCCCAGTCAGCTCTCTCACAGCTGGACATGCTCCCCCTTGCTGTTGCTTGTGCTCGGCATGACCTCATTCACAAGACAGCAGGGGGTCACCGTAAGTCACCAAAGACCACAGCGCTAGGGCGGCAAAGCCACCATTCCAATCCGCACCTGCTGGAGCCCACAGCCAAGCACACCCCCCAGCGACAGCTTAGCACTAACTGCGCCGGGAGCCAGCAAACCGGCAGGCTGCGACCATCTGCCCAGACAGACTCCCGGCACTCCCGCGAGCTGAGTGTGCAAGCACCTACACAGACGGACATACGCGTTCTCCATGCACACAGGCGCACGCTACCAAACACAGCTCGGACACGCGGACATGGCCGTGCTGTCTGTCACAATGACACACTGTGGCTCCCCCTCCTACGTGTGCAGCTCGGTGTGTGCTAAGGCCTGAGACCCACTCCCATTACTCATCACTGGCTGTGTGATCGGGCAGGTTCCTTCCTCTCTCTCATTGCAAAACAGAAATCGGAGGACCTTTCTCACGCATCAGTCCTAAGGATGAAATAAATTAACCCCCCAAAAGTGCTTAGAACAATGCATGGCAGAGCCTTGGTACTCACTACTTGTAAACCTTGGTGGTTTATATGTGTGTCCCTAGCACCCTGAACTGGACCCTGGCACAACAGCGAAGTGCTTATGAAATGACTCTCCCAATTCAGCTCAGAGAGGAGCACCGGCCAAGGCTGCCTACTGGCATCAGGCAGATGCGGGCTGCTAACCTCAGGCGAACAGCTGTTTTGCAGCATGCCAGGCCACCTGAAGGGCTCTATCCTGTATGCTGAGGGGGCAGGGACACCTCACAGAATCCTTGCTGTGGCAGATTGAGTCCCCTAATTCGGTCTTCTACGGCTAAGGAGATTAATTTTCCATCCCTGCACATACTCCCAATCTATGCACAGAATGGGGGCAGAATGGAACAGAGGAGCCCAGTAAGGTTCTTTCTTGCTAAAACTCTATATGAGAAAGCAGCAACAAAATGACCCCAGGAAATACAGAAAAAGCACATGGAATGAGGTATCCCAACTCCATGACTGTTTTTATCACCTTTCCCCTCTCATAACCCCAGGCGCCTCTTATCAGGACCTTGGTCAGTGCTGGGACTCTCCACCAGGTTAAGGTTCAAGGGCAGTCTCAAAAGTGACTGTGGTCCTAGGTTCACATGCCGGGGCTACCAGTGCCTAGTTTTGTGACTTTGGACAAGTGATTTGGCTTCTCTTGAGCCTCAGTTTCCTTATCTGTAAGAGTACAGATAGCCAACCATACCTGTCCCATAGGGTTGTGGAGACTCGGTGAGGGGGGGCACATGGATCAGATGGCATCTAGTAAGCACTTGAGAAACTTCCAGGTGCACTGAGATGCTACTGGAATGGAAGGTCCCACCCCAACGAATGCAACAATATAACTTCTCACATGAAGATCTTATGCTTGTCTAATTCTCAATCGGAAGATTTAAGAGATGACCTGGCTTTGGTTCTGTCTTTTGCTATGTGACCCAAGCAAGTGGTTTGCTTTCTCCGGGCCTCGGTCTCCCCATTTATAAGACACACATGGTTGGACTAGATCAGTGGTTTTACATTTTTCTTTAAAAGCAGCAAAACCCTGAGTTGGTGAAAGCAAAACCTTAGGCTGACCCCACATATGCCAGCTAAAAGTGAAACTCTGTGTTTGAAAAAGATGGGGGAGGTTTTTACCAAATATTTTGAAGCTTAGAAGACTAAAAGGTCTCTAAGGGCCCCTCTGGTTCCAAAAGCACCCCCTACCCCTCTTTACATCGCTCAGCAAGTAGCTAAGGTAAAGGAGAAAGAACATTGGCTCCGGTATCAGGAGGCCAGGGTCAGGGCTGAGCTGGGCCCAACGTCACCTGGGGTTATATTCCCAGGGAGCCTTATCTGCAAAATGCAGGGCACAGGGCTCTTTCCTTGTACCTCAAGCCTCCTGGGAGGTGCTGGCCCGGCTGGCTGCCAGGAGACAGGAGTAACCGAGCCTGGGCCCAGGGCAGCCACTCACCAGGCTGGTTCATGCAGACAGGCCCTTGGCCTATAAAACTTGGCCAGAGAGAGAGTTCCCTCTGACAACCCGCCCCCGCGAAGCTTCGGTGATCCCAAAGCTGCCAGGGAAGGAGAGAGGGAGCCGTCCCCACCCCAGATGAAGGCCACACCTGATGCCCCACCCTGGGACAGAGATTCCACAATAGCACACCACATTCAAGAACCCTGCGGCTCTCACGTCAGGCCAAACCCTGAACCTCTCTCCTCTCCAAGGCCTCAGTGTCTTAATCTGTCATATGAAGGATCCCGGTATGCCACCTAGTATGAAAAGTCAGTGAAGACTCAATGACAGATTACACCCACAAATCAGAAAAGCGCTTTCCAGTTGGCCAAATTACTTCAGATTCTAATTTTCATGGAGTTATGATACCAACCCAAGGGGTAGAATTGTACCCATTTACAGAGGAGGAAACTGGGGCTCACCTCCCCACTGGGGTTGGAAAGCTTCTCAGCCAAGGTCACAAGGCCATCAAGTGACAGAGCAGGGGGATGGGGAGCCAGCCTAATGGGCTTTCATGGGAAGTTAACGTTTAATAATTAACTCCCCAGGTACCAACCCCAGGCTGTGCAAATGTTTTTAAAACAAGACCGAAGGACTTAAGGCAAGTGACCGACTCTCAGGCTGTTCTTTAGAAGCCTTTGATATGCAATTCTTCCTCGGCTCCACCAGGCCACTCATCCACTCAGAGCCAGCCCCTAGGGAGGTGTAGTCCTTGAGTCTCCAGGGTACCCTGGGGCCCGAGGCATCCGTGTCTACAACACTATCTCCCTCTGAGTCCTCTCCCCCTCCTAAGTCTCTGGTGAGGAGCTTACCTGCCAGAACCTCTGTCCTCTCAAAGATGCTGCTGCCCTGCGCAGTGCTGGACATGGACACCTTGTTGGACACGTCCTCGTCCCCCTCAAAGGATGAGATCCTTTTTGGGATGACCTCGTTCTCCTCCAATTCCTTGGGTTCGGTGGGGACCCAACTCCCAGGCCCTGCCCTCTCAGGGATAAAGTTATCGAGAGGCACCTGCATGGGGTGGAAGGAGGAGAGACAAACACTCAGCGTGGTCTGGGGACGAACCTGGGGCAGGGGACAGAAGCATTCAGCCAGGGAGGGAGTCTGTTTTGCCATCTTGCTGGCTGAACCAGGGGGTCCTGGGACAGAAAGCAGCACCAAACTCTCAACAACGATGCCATCGAAGGCTCACCCTCCACCTTTCCAGGTCTGTCCCAAATGGGGAATGAATAATGTGACCAAGGGCGCAGGGAAGCACGTGATCCCACTCACTGCTGGTCAGTGGGTATTCGAGAATCACCACCCTGGAGGGCAGTGTGGCAGAGCTGCAGAAATTGCTTGGGACCCTGTCCCAAGGAGCTAATCAGAGGTTTGAGTCAAAGAAGCTTGCTGTAGTGTTCTAATTTTAGAAAATCAGAAAATCAGAAACAACATTTCCATCAAAAAGGGAAAAGCAGTGAACTATGATGATGCGGCCTATAAAAATGAATAGGAAGCACATTTAATCATGTGAGGAAATAAACTCACAAACTCCTGACCACTTTATATACACAAAACTGTATATACAACTTGATATTAATGTTGGGAAATACCTAGAAATGCACAGAAAAGGGGCTGGAAACACATCTAAGTGCTGACAGTGATTATCCCCTGCCGGGAGGACGGCCTACCCATGACCCACAGCGGTGCCTGCCCCCAGGGAGCCAGAGCCCCGAATAAAAGCTTTCTTGCAGAGAGAGGTTAGACCCTCACTTATGGGCCCTTCTCAACAGGTGTAGGAGAGGAGCAAGTGGGGAGAGGCAAAAGCATGTAATTACTCACCAGAGGATGGATTACTTCGGGGAAGATCTGGGGGTCCTCTGAGTCATCTGGAAGGTCAGAAAGGCTGAGTGTGAGGTCACTTCCCCTTAGATAAAGGACCTCCCCCTTCTTCAGCCATGGCTAGGCCCTCAAATGCTCAGTGTACAGCAAGTGACCATTCCCACCCCAGCTTCAGTCACCTCCTCTGTAAAATGGGCTCCGAAGACTGGGCTCTCTGGTTCTTTCACAAGTGCTCAGCAGGTAGCTGAGCAGATGCTGTCAGCTCCAAACCCCTGCTCCATAATGTATGGATCCAGGGACCACTAGCATCCCCTGGGTGCCGGCTAGAAATACAGATTCCTGGGCCCACTGAATCAGTCTGCATTTTCATAAGATCCCCAGGGGATTCCTTTGAGAAGACTCTAGACTGTAATATTAAATATTAGAAATTGCAGCATTGAAATATATCCTGAGTGCTCCGTATATGTGCCAAGAGAGCTTTAACTCAGTCCAATCCCCAACACACTGATTTACTATTTTACAGATTTGGAAACCAAGGCTCAGAGGTCACAGAGATCATCACAGCACTCTGTACGGAGGAAGGATGCTTCTGTGCAGCAGCCTGAGCCAGGGAGTCACAGAAGACCATGAACAGCCCTGCCCTCCCCGCCCCCCCCCCCAGTCCAGCCACCCAAGGCCTGCACCCCTTCACCCATGCCCCCCTCTGAAGCAGGAGCTTGTTCCTGGGTCCCCACTCACACCTCTGCCCACACATGCTCCCAGGCTTTTGAGCTGCTCCTTTTCCTTTTCATAAGAAGAAAACACTATCAGTTCTTTCCAGCCCCACACCCACTAGGCCCCCAGCCACAGGCAGACAGGTCCAGGCTGGTGCTGAGAAAACCTAGAGCTACAAATGAACTCCAAGCAACAAATAACTCACCCAAGGAGGGTTGTCAGGGATGGAAAAGGGTTGATAGTTACTTTTGTTTCCTCTTTTCTGAGAGGGGAAGAGCACTGTTGGAAACCCCCCACACAAATCCAAGTCTCAAGGCGAGCTCACTACCCTGTGCTCGGTAAGGCCACTTTCCCTCCAACCCCATGAGCCCAGGCTGCCCACCAGATCCTCCATACCCAGATCTCCAGAGCCAGACAGCTCAAAATCATCAGGTTCCTGCCCAGGCCCCCCAACATCCTCGTCATCTGGTAGGGCCCCAGAAAAGTATCGGCCTTCTAGGTCTTGGGGGTCGATGACTTCGGTCTCTCGGATCTAGGGTGAAAAAGGGAGTCACGTCAGCCACATCGGTAGCCCCCTGGTGCTCTACAGCAGCCCCTGAGCCCCAAAAGGCAGTGAAGTGGGCATTCAGTAAGATAACCTGGGGTGCTGGAAGGTAATCAGGCCAGAACCTGGAGACCACCCCTCCTGGTCCCTAACTTGCTGTGTGACCTTAGGCAAATCTCTTTCCCATCCTGGGCTAATAAAAATCATAAAGTTGGTAATAATCAGAACATTAAATATTACTAGGTACTATTGACTAAGCAATTAGTATGTGTAAGTCCCTGTTCTTACCACCAAAGGCATGTCTTTAACCTCATTTTACAAAAGAGGAAACTGGGAATTTCCTTCTGATACAAGTAGCAGGTCGAAAAGAGAGAATTCAGCATCGAGCTGCCTGAATGCAGAACCACACAGGCTTGAGGATATGACGCTCCAGGGTTCTAGGATGCAAATAAAGTCACAGCTGATTCACCCGAGGCAGGGAGAGGGCTGCTGGCTCTGGTCTTGCCCAGTCCAGGACATCTTTCCCAGCTGACTCAGACTGGGCTGGGACAGCCAGGGCTGGCTCACTCACGCCCCAGGGCAGCCTCAGGCCAGGCACTGCAGACCTGGTGACTCACAAGTACGTAAGCACACTCTTGTACTCAGCTTTCCAGCATCTCCCATAGATCTCTTCTGTACCAGCACAGGGGAGGGCAAGAGAGGCATCCTGTGGATGGACCACCCACTCCAGCACCCACAAATGTCCTCAGCCCCTACCGCACGGGGACCCAGCCCATCACATCACAGCAGAATCTTAAACCCCACTTCCACCAAGAAGCTTTCAAAGGGAAAGTACAAGGTCCAGGGAGGCAAAAACTTCCCCAAGGTCCTATAAGTACATCAGCTACTCTGTTCCCATTCCCCAGAGCTCACAAGGGTAGGAAACATTCAGAATGCTTACCACCTTCCTCTTAGCTCTGGGGCTGAGGCTTCCCAAAGAACAACAGCCCAGAGCAAAGTTCATTCCCCCCCCCCCCCATTAACTCAAATACTAAAGTGCCTGCTATTTGCCAAAAGAGTTAGGGTTTCAATGAAGTTCAATACACATTCTCCTCTTACATTCTCCTCTAAACATTACATCTCCTCTAAACATTCTCCTCTTCTTTCCCAGAGCCCCTAACTGTAGGATATTGGGGCTCTGCTCAGAACCACCAGAATTCCAGTTACAGAGGCCAGGGAGGTCCCATGCTCTCATTTCACAGAATCTGAGAGAATCTGAGCTCTGGACAAGGCAGTGACTTGCCTAAGGTCGCATAACTGAGTCAGCCAGACAACTCAGAGCGGAGAGGCCAGGTGTCTTTTTGACTGCCCCAGGCTGTCCTTCACCCAGCTAAGACTGCCAGTGACACCAGGGAAGGGGGTAGCCCGAGGAGGAATATCTGTTCCTAGGACCAGGTAAGCATTGCAGGAGAGGCCCAGGCTCTGTACTTCCTCCACTGGCTTCTGGGGAGAGGTGGGCAGGACCTGACTGTCATGCCCTCTTCCACCCCCGAGAGGGCAGAGGCTGGATTCCCGGAAGGGAGGAGGGTCAGGCCAGGGGAGAAGGCAGTGGGCACACAGCCCTCTTCCACCGGATGGGAGACTCTTTGCTGAACACTGGGCACACATGGGGGTGGGGAGCCAGAAGGGGTTAAGCCCTGGCTGGGGATGACTTCATGACTTGGGAATCAGGAGCTGCTGAGCTGCTGGTGTTGGAATTCCAGCCCCCGCACACAGCCCCGTGCCTGTGGCTTCGGTCTGGCAGCTTGGGAGGAAGGCTCCTCCGTGGTGGTTGCAAAACTGTCCCCTAGGGTGAGGTCCCTGGGCTCCTACCCCCATCTCCTGCCGCGAATTCCCCCAGGGCCCAAATCTGAAAGAGCAGGACCTTTTGAGCCCTCAGCAAATGAAGTACGTCCTCCTGATAGATCTTGTGCAGAAGTGGGCAGAAGTGGAACGGGGGCCTCAGAAAGGTTAAGTGGCTTGCCCAAGGTCACATCGGCAGAAAGTGGCCACACTGGACCAGAACCCAGGCCTGGGTCACTCAAGCCTTTAGTCACATGCGAATGAACACCTGCATGAACACGCATGTACACAGAGTGCCCGGCCACCCAAGCTGGGAGGGAGCCCTGTCAAGTGGAGGTCAAATCCAGCCCAGCAGAGAAAAAAGGTACTTTGGCCACTTGTCGACCTGGCCTGGAGACTCCCATGGGAGTCACAGCTCCAAGTCCTCCAGACAGGGGCTGGGGTCCCAACGCTGGGCAGTTTCAGGCGGGAGACCCGCCCCACAGGGTTCTTATTCCCCGAAGCCCTGGAATGTTGTTTACACATCCTGCCCTTCTTTTACTATGTGAAAGTGTTAAGGGGTGTTTCAAAACAACCCACGGGATTAGCATGCTGATTGGCTGACAGTTACTAGCTCCGTTTCTCATTAGCCAGACAGAGGCGAAGAGAGGAGGCAGGTATGGTGGTCTCGAAACCAAAGATGAAACCCAGATTCACTGGCAGTTCAGCCCTCTTAGGGGTCGCCTGGTGATCCCTCCCCCTTCCTTTCCATACCAGGTTCCTGGGGAGGATAAACGGCTTGGCTAAGGTCGCACCAGGGGTCAGGGGCACGGCCAGGGGTAGACCCAGTCAGACACCTATCCTGGGGCTCTCCAGGCTGCATTACAGGGGCCCATGTGCCTTCCTCCAGCAAGTCCAGGGCCTGGAAGAAGCTTTGTGGGGCGTACCCATGGGAGGGCACAGGAAAGCGGATCTTTCTTCCACTCCAGAAGCACCCTCTCTGTTCCTCTCTGCCCATGACTCCTGACAAGAGGGACATTCCCACGTGGGAACCCTTTAAGACTAGGTCAGCAATGGGCAAGCATTATGGGCAAGCATCCCTTTGTGTGTATGGGCATGCCAACAGCCCTCCCTTGCCTTACCTGCTTTGCAGACAAGGCCCATTCAGTCTGGGGTACATCTGAAGAATGAGGCCACTCAGCAGCCAGACCCAGCCTTGACCAGAGAGGACCTGATCCTGCTCCCAGCTGAGCTACCCGTCTATTCTCCACTCACCCCCACCCCTGCCTGTGGATTGTGTGTTCACACAGGCACCCTCTCTGGGCCCTCGGGTCTCTTTTCTCACAGACCACAACAGAAATAGGTCAGTGGGCCTGGGTCCCACAGACCTGCTTGCCCCAGGGCTGGTGGACACCTGGGGTTGGTGCCTGGGGGTTGAGATGCTGAATGCCTTCCCAGATTATCCACAGAAGAGGGGGTAGGTGCTGTTTTGTTCCAAAGGAACTAACACCTGCCAACAGAAGGTATCCGAGGTCACTGAGCCCAACGGTCTCATTTTATAACCCAGCAAACAGATTAAAAGACAAGGGACTTTGCCAAGGTCACCCAAGCACTTGGCAGCAGAGCTGGACTTAGAACCTAGGTCTCCTGGCTTGAGGCTGGAGTTGTCCTCCCCGCCCTGCTTCAAGGATTTTGGCTGCAAAACAAAGGGTCTCAGCAAACCCACAGGCCACAGCTGTCACTCCAGACATATTCCGCATCCAGTCCTTACACTATAGGCACGAAGCTAGGAAAAGGTCACCAACCCTATCCCAAAGTCCTACAGCTTCAGTCACCAGGGAAAAGCATAGGGGCTGGGGTGACTAGCTCAAGTATCCACCACGAGCCAGGCACCAAGCTGGAGTCTTCCCTTTATGAGCTCATTTGCAACGGCCCAACGGTCTTGTAACGTGCTCCAACCATTTTGCAAGAAACTCAGGTGCAATAGTCATTTATCCAAAGTCACACAACTAGAAAGCAACGGACCTGGGGTTTGAACCTAGATCTTTCTCAAGACCATGCCTCAGCCACAACCAGATTTCTCACTGCCACCCTCGCGTCTCCTCTCCACCCCGACCCCACACTGCCAGGCCAGGCTCCACCAGGGAGCAAACAAAGGTGAAACTGATATTGCTTAAACAAAAGAACAAAAACTTGGCTGGGGCACCAGGGAGAAGTTCAGGGTCAAGGCCTGGTTGGCTGGTGGGAGGAAAAGAGGGAGGAGAGCCTCCCCCTCCCCCCACCCTCCCCCAGCTCTGCCCTCAGGCTCCTCCCCAGCAGAGGTAGGGTCAGGGACACACTTGACCCTTCTTTCAGGAGGTGAGACCAGAAGACAACTGTGCAAGCCAAATTCAAGGGGGGGTGGGGGAGCAAGGACACTGGGCTCCAGCTACTGAATCCACCAGAGTGATTCTGACCGGAGATCCCCAAAAGCAACCTCTGGTACAATCACTGTCTTCCCCCATCCCCCTTTCTGAAGGGTCAGATACCCCCCAGAATGAGCAAATCAGAGATCTACACCTCGGCAGAAAGGAAGGATCTGCCAGCAGAGTGGTGACCCACAAGCAAAGTACAGTCTGGCCACTTCCTAACTGCAGGAGTCTTGGAGTCTACGTCACATCTTGAACCCTCAGCTTTCTCTTTCGGTACCCAGGGCTAGGAGCACCCTGCAGGATGATGAGGATTAAGTGCAATGCATTAGTGTGTGCAAGGAATCCAGCATATGGCCTGGTACACAGCAGGTGCTCAATGAGTAGCAGCTATTATCAATCCCCACCTGCCTCCCTTCTGGCTAAAGGGATTAGTGCTCAAACGGTCAGAGAGACCTGGGACAAGCTGTGGAAGCAGCTCCCCTGCTAGAAAGAAGGTGGTCAGTGGATCGGGGTGCGGGGGAGGGGGGGAGGGCTGTGCTTCGCAAATCGTGAATAAACACCTATAATGGGTATTTATTTTGCTTCTGGGACAACCGACCAGGTCCCTTGCAATTGCAAAGGACCCAGAGATGGGCAGAGACCACACAACTTGGAGCACTCGTTCTAAGGCGACAGAGGCATAGGAAACGCAGTTGTATTTTTCCAAAAGGAGCAAACGGAAGTGACCAGAGACGCCTGACATTCTACTGGGGGACCTGTACCCCCCGGGGTATTTACTGACCTGCCCTGGGGACAAAACAAAACAAAAAAATCCAAAAGGCAAAAAGAAACCACACACAGCCAGTGCTCTGGTACCTGGAGGGTTAAACCAGGTCTGGGGGTGGGGGGTGGGGCTGGGGGGGGTATCGAATGTCAGCTCTGCCCACTCCAAGGTCGGATTACTCTGAACACAATCACTCAGGAGAGAAGCCAGGCCTGGCACTGCCAGCAGCCAACTTTTCACCAACCCCCCCCCCCAGGGCAAACCATTCCACAGCAAGGGCTCCAGGATGCTGGGGTGCCAGCTAGGAATGGGGCTGGGGGTGGGGTCCTGCATTCTGGACATCCTCCTGCCAGCAGGTGATGGAGATTTCCCCACTGGGCCTCAGTTTGCCCACCTGTAAAAGGTTCTCAAAGAGACAAGCCTCTGTCTGTCTCAGGGCCTGGTAACCAAGCTGGGCACTGCTCCGATTACCGCTGGAGACAGCTGGGAGGGGGCTGGCTCCCCAAGGGCCGCAGAGACAGAAGTGCATTGAAGCTGGGACTTGTAATCTAGGCAGCAGATCCGAAGTCCCTGCTGGATCTACGGGCGGGACGTAAACAAGCCTCCTGTGTTCTCAAGAGCAAAGTCGATAGCCTTGTCTCGGCTGATTAGATCAGCCCTGGGTGCTGGCTTCC